TTATTTATAGTATACAAGTACATTATATACATGAGAATATGATTAAATGAAATATATAGTTTTCTAGCGTGAAAAAAACAAAGAAAATTGATACATTTTTTAAATTAAAAAATATCATCTATATTCATTTATTATTTTTTTCTCGATTTTTAGTTTATCAGAATCATCATCTATATATTATTTCATGAAATTGTTCTGATATTCATTGATATATATATATATATCACTATTCAAATATTTGGTTTTCGTTTTCTTTTTCTATTTTTCAATCTATCTTTGAATAAATACTCGTATGGGTACAAGTAATAGTGTTAAACGAAGTCCAACAGATATTCATACATTTCTTGAAAAAGAAAAAGAAAAATTTATTGAAAAAATTGAAAATCCTATTCGACAAAATGGTAGTATAGATGATTTTGAACTTATGCGTACAATTGGTACTGGATCATTTGGTAAATAAAAAAAACAAAATTTCATTAATCAAAAAATTTTTTTTTTGAAGGTCGAGTAATTTTGGTAAAACATCGAACTGATGCTGTCAATGAAAAATTAGCTTTAAAGATTCTTGATAAACAAGTTATTGTTAAAATGAAACAAATTGATCATACATTAGCAGAAAAAAAAATTCTTCAAGCATTATCATCACCATTTATTGTTAAATTATTATATACATTTAAAGATAATTCTTATTTATATTTGGGTCTTGAATATGCACCTGGAGGAGAACTTTTTACACATTTACGTGCTATTGGACGTTATACAGAAGATATGGCAAGATTTTATTCTTCACAAATTATACTTGCTTTTGAATATCTTCATCATTTAGGCGTTGTAAGTTAATATGAAAAGATTTTATAACTGTTTTTTTTTCAATTTTTGAAAATATTTAGATTTATAGAGATCTCAAACCAGAAAATTTACTTTTTGCATCTGATGGTTATTTGAAAATGGTATATCTTATTGAAAAATTCATATAAAAATAATTTTTTTTTTTTTCTCTCTAGACAGATTTTGGTTTTGCAAAACGTGTGAAAGATCGTACATGGACATTATGCGGAACACCCGGTAAATTTTTGCTTAATGAATTGATTTTTCAATAATTGAATTGTATCTTAATTGTTTTTATTTTTAGAATATCTTGCACCAGAAATAATTCTTAGTCGTGGTTATAATAAAGGTGTTGATTATTGGGCATTAGGTGTACTAATGGTACGTATGACCTTGACATTTCTTATCTGTTTTTTGGAGTACAATTTTTTTTTGGTCTTTAGTATGAAATGACAGCTGGTTATCCGCCATTTTTTGCTGATCAACCAATACAAATTTATGAAAAAATTGTTTCTGGTCGTGTTCGTTTTCCAAATCATTTTTCAGTTGAACTTAAAGATTTACTTAAAAATTTACTTCAAGTTGATTTAACACGTCGTTTTGGTAATTTAAAATCTGGTGTTAAAGATATTAAAGAACATCGATGGTATAAAGATATAGATTTCATAGCTATTTATGAAAAAACTGTTCAAGCACCATTTATACCAAGAACTGATAAAGAAAATTATGAAACATATGATGAACAACCATTAACAGTAAGCACAACTGAACGATTTCCAAGAGAATTTCTTGATTTCTAGTACAAATATATGTTCAAAAAAATAAAAAATAAAAAAAAGATTTTTTTTTCTTTTACTATGTTTATTCTTCTACGTAGAGAATTTTGTTTTTTTTTTTGCTTTTTTTCGTATGATATGTTTTCATTTAATTTAAATATATAACAAATAAACAAGATTTGTTATTACAAGTCATGACAAAAAAATTCGAATTTTTTGTTGTAAATCGCTCATTATAATAAAATTGTACGAAATACATTTTTGAAATAAAACATCAACTTTAATATTTGAATAAGCTGAAACGATTGTTTGAATGAGTATGAGTGTATCTCTATTAACAAAATTACAGATAATGTATTGTTTTAGAATATAAATCAGAGAATGTCACAGGACAAATGAAAACTAATATGTACGTTGAATTATGGTGTCAAAGATCATAGACGTACTATTTATAAGATAAAAAAAAAACCATTTACAATATAATCATGTTAATAAACCTTATCAAATTTTTTACAACACAAAAATGAAATGAGTAATAAAAAGATATTTGACATCCATAGGACGAACAAGAGAATAATGAAGCAAATATAAAGATACGAGATTCAAAATGTAATCAATATAAGCAAATGAATAACGAGAACGAATAAATTTTTTTTTCTCTTGTAGTTCTTATTTGAACAAATAAATAATATTTTATTAAGTTGACTTGATGATAAGTGTATTCATCTTTGAGTAAATGTCTAGACGGTTGAATTAAATAATCTTTCTGAGGCAGCAATAGTCGCTGATATGATATTTATTCCTCTAGCTATTATTCATAAAAATGTAAAATTACAACAAATTTTACTAGTAGAATTTCTGAATAAAGTCAATCATTTTACTCGAAAGTTGATAGCATATTCCAATTATAATAGATATATCTTTGAACTCGACAAAAATATTTGACAGTTTTTGTATGAAATATTGTTATGTGATCATGTTTTTGTGTATGGATTATAATCTATTTGTTCGATAATGGGATGAATATGCACATGACTTGTAATTGTTATTATTCATAAAATTTTACTTAAAAGAACAACTATAATAGATCAATATGTTGTGTGCTACATCAGTGTTATCAGCCGTCAATGACGAAAAACCGCTACTACACCCACAATCAAATTGCGGTATACTGATAGTTACTGTCTGTAGAACGAACAAAGGGACAAACATATCGTGTGATCATTTGTAGATCGATTACAAAAAGGATGTTATGTAGGAAACTTCATGCAGTATCGATTTATAAAAAAGAATATTTCTTTTCATTGGTTCGTCTTCCGAAGTATCTGGATAAAAAGAGACAGTATAGATTTCAATGATTGATTATGTGATATAGATTGATAAAGAGATCTATGAATGATGAATGAAAAATTTCGAATATATTCACGATATCTTAACAAATTACAGATCTAAACTTTACCATGTGAGAAATTTAGTAGTTATGAAATTCTTCAAAGAAAAAAAACAAAGACAATAATTTGACATTATATGTCAAAAAGTTATATATTGTATCCAGCGTAGTTTCTATTATTCCCATATGAATTCGAGAGACTATAATTCTATTTATAGGATTATGTCACCAATGACTCTTCAGGAACTCTAATGATAGTATACAGAATAAAAACTGGAAAAGATTTGTAACGGATAATCAGAAAGTTTTTAGACAAGATAACAAAAACTAAAAATCTTGATTTTAATTACTGCTTGACATGACACTCACACTTATCACGATTAGGAATATTAAAATAGCCACATATTCTATGTATATTGACTGTATTACTCTTAATTTATTTACTTTTTCTGAATCAAAACAATCTGACATAAATATAAATGGAAGAATTAGAATATAGAAATATTTAAAAAATTTTCTGAATTCTAATTTCTTTTGTAATACAAATGTCACAACAAAACATAATAAAAATCCATTTTTTATTAAAAATACAGTTAAATGAAAATATATGTATATGTTATTATTCTATTGAATCGAATCGAATTAATTAAGAACGTTGTTCAAGAAAAGAGAGATTGTAATTCATCG